TTTTTTTTTTTTTTTTTACAATTCAGCAACTAGTATCAATTCAGCAACTAGTATCTAGCAACATACTCTCTAAAACAATTTCACACTAGTAATACTGCATTTATGACAAAGTTTATTGCCATCAGTCCTTTAAAAACAAAACAAAATTACGTCTAGTACTATATCGACAAGTAAAACAAGTAAAATGTATACCGAGTATACATTTCATCTTAGTAAATTACCACTGCATGTCATTTTAAATGCGAATAAACTAACTTCTCCATTTAATGTGAATGCTGCCTAAATGCCTACTTTAGTATAAAATCTGTGACTTCTTTTTCAATTTGAGATTTAGATATGTTTGGTGTTCTTGCAAATCCCTTTTGTTGCATGTGCAAGTTCTTGTAGATTGTGKTTTTTCAGGTTATACTCAGCCTAAGAGTTATTTCTGTCTCCCTCTTCCCCTTCCTCCCAATTACAGTGGCAGTATTCCCTGCAATTGTGAGTCGGGTCCTACAGCACTGCATTGATTTCTGTCCTCTGGTAGTCTGTCCTTGCACGTGGCTTTGCGCAGCGCGAAGCCTGTGTCTTTGGAGCTGATGAATTCTTCATGTAGGCCACATGCACAGAGATGTTSACAGGGCTGGGAGGTGTGATGATGGGAGAAGGGGTCAGATTAGGCACTGCAAACATCCTGCAGTACTTTTGCATTAATGCTACAGATAGAAAAACTAGTTGCTGCTGCTGCTGCACTTTGCTGTTAACATTTTTACTATGTGTAAATGTATGATTGGATTGTCTGACATTTGAAAATTCCTGTTTGTTACAGCTCTCAAGTTGGCAAGCTGCTTTTTGCCTGGAATATTCTGGGTAGTTGTATCCTCTGTTTGCATTTGTTATGGACTGTTTCATCCTAATGGATAAAATTACGTATGAAAATAACTTTTAATCTGCAGTACAGGATCTGGACTGTGCTTGGCTTCTGGTTTTTTACCATCAAGGTAGACGATATCTGTATGACCTTAAAAAAAAAAAAAAAAAAAGAAATCCTTATTTCATAAAAGAAAATAAATGCCTTTAGTCACATTACAAGGGAAAAGGTTCTGTTTCCTTGATCGTACTCGACACAACATCTTTGAAATTAATCTTGAGAAGTTCACTGATTGATCCGGCTTTTTCTAGGTCACTGAGCTATATTTCCAAAGTGTTTATACAATCTATTGGAATCAATAAACAATTTAAACTGATGTAACTGCAGAATGTTTGCAAGTCCCAGGGAAAATTGGAAGTATGACAAAGAATACAGCCGTAGAAGTTTATTTTGTTTATCAGGACAAACAGTCATTGAAATGAAATGACTTTTCTTTCAACACTGCAATACCATACTGACACCTTAATCACATATATAAGTAGCTAGTTGCTTTAAAAACACGTTATTGGCAAATGAAAACCCTTTATTTATAGATAAAGAAGCTGTGCTCTACATCCTATTTTTATAACATATCCCTGGTATGAGAGTAAGCACATTGTGAAATGGTTTCACTTCAGATTATGGGTGTTGTATTTCAGGCATCATTTTATTTTAGATTGAGTTTTGGATGGTGTCAGTTTTAACATTATGAGTTAAATGTGAATTAGACTTTATAATCATTACTAAAATTAGACAAGAATGATACTAGCAAAACTAATTAAAAAGAAGCTGATACTGTTTTAATCTTATTTAAGGTTTTGATTTCCCCCTTATTTTGTACACTGCATTTGGGGTGTAGGTGAGGGACTAACATTTCTTATACCACAGCGCACACTAGTGGATGGATTAATAAAATCAGCTGAGGAAAGAAACACCTAATAGTTCTTGAATTAAATACTTAAATCTTTTCTACATGCAGACATAGTCATGTCTTCTATAATTGAATACAATAGCAATCTTCTTTTTTTTTTCTAGAAGCAAATACATTTATCTCCAAGGATATTTGTAAATTTAAGATTAATAGCCATGATCTGAGATCTTACATACTGTTTCATAAAATTTATTTCCCAAAGGTAATCTGTTCTAACTTCTGTTCTCACTGCCAGTAACCTGGATGATGGAATAACAGCAGCTTCTGTATAAATGGGAAAATGCCAGGCTGTCATTGCTCTCTCTGCTTGCTAAATGGGAAATGACCCAGTATTGCTGCATCTAGAATGTAGGTTTTAAACATGGATTGCAGAGGTTCTTTAATATTAGTGCTTGTAAATGCTAATGGGAAGTTGTTAGATGTCAGCACTGCTCCAGCCCTTTTCCCTTACCTCTTTTCCTCTTTTCATAAATTGTTTTTGACCCCTGCCTCATCTGATTCATTCTAAGCAGAGTGTTTTATCAGGACAACAGKTTTTTTATTCAGCACACTGCTAGTGATACAGCACGTGCATTGTAATGCAGTCTGTCATATGGGCTCAACCGTGTTGGAGAAATTAATATTTCTGCTTAAGTTTTTTAGACATCTACCTTTATAGTGGCAGCCCTTCCCTCTCTTCACTCCTCTCTCTCCCCCAAAATTCACCAAACACTTCCTTTTAGAAAGAGTTACCTGCCTTCTTTCACCTAACAGTAATGTGCCTTTCTAGTTCGTGCTGTGTGAAATGGTTTGAGATAAGTTGTCAATATTCAGGGTACTAATACCAATGTCCTTGTAGCCAGCTTTGCTGGGTATGCATACAGAAAAACGATGTTAAATGTAATTAGAAATGTGGAAAATGCATCCCCYGATAGGTTGTATGATTCATCCCTCCAATATTGTGTGATTTCCTGGCATTGTTTCATAGAAAATAGATAAAAGTATTTAAAAGTGCGTGATTTGATCTAAGGAAATCTGTACATTGGTTGAAAATTTTGGAGCCATTTAGAACAAAAGTCGATTTTTGAGAGAGGAAAGCAATAYGAAATAAGTTCAAATAAGTGAAGCAGGCACAGGAAAACAGAAGAAACTTGTTCAGAAACAGAGGGATGGTCACCTCCTGCTGTACTTTTTTTTTTCTCTGATAGAAATGGAAATACAGAAATGGGCAGGTGCTGCCAGGCCTGTGTGCAGCCCTTATGCCCAGCCTTTTCCCATTGGCAAGTTCCTGGTTTTGGTTACCTTTAGCTTTRCCAGGCTCTTTGGGAGTGGAGCTTTGTTTATGCTCTTGCTTTGTTCCCTCTGCAAGGAGCTGTGCCACTTGGGCCAACATATCTAGAGGTGTGATGGAGGTGAATTCAGCCTGTTGTGATCACCGTGGGGACTGGAGAGCCTGGAGCATGCAGGGATGGAAGGTGGCAAAGAGCGATGGAGCCAGGGAAGAGGAAAAGGCAGGAGGGTTTTCAGTCTCAAACCTGTCCAGAGCGTGGTGCAGAATCTCAGAATTCAGCTGTGCAATTTCTCCCCTGCGTCATATCGGTGACGCCAACTAACAAAACCTGTTTCTGTCCCTGTGCTTCCCATCCTGCCAGAGCGTGGGAAGCTGGGAATGGCAGTCACTGCTCTCTGCTCTGAAGCTGCAGTTGCAGAGGTCTGCAGCAAACCTAGGGCTTGCAGTCCTGTTGCAGACCCCGTTTCACGTGAGCACGAGACCACGTCAGGAATGGTTATTTCCTTGGAGCTGTTCAAATATAGGAAGTAGCACAAATCAAACTGTCATTGCAAAGTTTGGTCCTCAAAGGTTAGGAAGCATAGAAAAGTGGCTGCAGAATTTTGGTTTGGTGTCTGGTTTCTGTGATTGTGCCTGTTCCCTAGCGAATTCTTGTTTTGCCTTATTTTTGTTCCTTTTAAATAATATATTTGGAGTATACTAGAATATGGAGGTTGGTATGTAAATCATCATATCCTTAAATCTTATCTGCCTGCCTTAGTAGTCTGCAAATAATTATTGACATGAAATTTTTGCCAGCTTGTGAGTTCAGTAAGAGGAGTGAGCGTTTTTCTGAGTAAACTGGAGAAAATGGACTACAAAACATGAAAGAATAAATCCAAAGTTTTTCAGTCACTCATATCAAGCAAGCTACCTTGTTTTTAATATAAAAAAGGCAACTTGAAAACCAATTCTGTCTTGTGAAATTTGCAGTACTTTCATGTTCAGGAAAGACAGTGAATTTGCAGTTTTTGAACTCCATGAGTTTTCCAATTTGCACACATTGGGGTTATCTTTCTGATGGTTTAGCCCAGTGGAAACACTTTCTTGTGTGAAATATTTCCTTTAAAAACAGAAAAATGCAACTGATCACTGGGAATAGAATAATTGCATTGCTTTTCTATTCTGTGGGGACAATACACACATTACAGAAATATTACTCAGTTACAAAATCATCAACATTTTCTCTTGCTTTGTATCTTCTGTTGGGATTGTGGTTGCATGCTGCTTATGCGTGTCTTTGAAAGGTTTCTTTAGTTGTACTCCAGAGGAGAAGACAAATCAAATCTGAACACTGTGTATGTTCCAAACAGAAAGAAGCAATGCATTCTTCATAATTTGAAGGAGGAAAAATGTCTTATTTTTCCTTATTTTGTCTTTCAGATTTGCCTCTGGTTGGCCTACACAAGCAAATGGAGATGAGATCCATGAACGAGTGAAGAATATTCTAAGGACTCACAGTGCTAGGCAGTGTCTAATATTTGTAAGTGTGACTGCAAATTAACTCTATTTTTTTGTGCCTAGAGACTTGGTTTTTATTACACTGCTGAATTTCGAGGCAGCTTTGAGTGTAGAAATGTGGATTTGGTATAAGCAGCCTTGTGGACAGCTGGTGCAGGTAACCATCTCATGGGGTATTGATGGTGATTAAATAACTTTTTTTAAATTTTGGTCCCCTGCTTTCAGATAAGGAGCAAAAGTACAGTCCTGATTTGTAGAACATCAAGGGCATAGCATGTTGTGCAGCTGCACATCACCAGCTGCTGGTGTCCAGCTGTTTGTAGAGCTAATATTATTCTTCAAATGTGTGGGKTTTTTTTTCTTAATTACCTGGCTTTCAATGAGCAGAGTGCTTTATCTAATGAGATTGTACTCTGGATCAGAACACTTTGTCCTTGAATCTGATGGAATTTCCAAGTTCAGTTTTAGTCAGATACCAAATTTTGCTATTGTAACTCTAAGACCCCAGTTGTGGCACAGGATCTCCCTGGGCAAAGCTGTGCACAAACTGAATGACAATTAGTGTCCATCTGCAAAGAGCTTGGGTTCTTTTGTTTGAGGTGATGTAAAAGAGAGGTAAGGTAAAAGGATATAAGAATTAGGGGAGGTAAGATTAAGATAAAGGCCTCTGATGACGTTGTTATTTTTGTTGGAAATATAACAGACTGATGTTGCTGATCACTTAGTAGAGAACAAGGGTCTCTGGAGAAAGGCATCCTGTTTTCTTCCATTTGTTGTATCACTTATACTAAGAGTGCCTACATAGGCACTCTTAATCTGTTTATTTCCTTGTTTTCTCTTAAGTCTTCATTTTTGTCTTAGTTTGATACATTCCTTCTTTTTAAACCCTGAAACTCTTCCCTTATGCATGTGAAATAATGACTGTGAAATAATATGTGTTGTAGCTCCTTAGCTTTTTATACAAATGTTATAATCTCTTGTGAGCTGCTGCCTGTCAAATAGAAGATGTCTATCATATTTTCGTGTTTCAGCTACTCCAGAATAGGGGTACAAATCTTGTCGGAAACTCTTTTGATATTTCAATGAACTTAGGGTAGCAGGTTGGAATTTATGACATTCCAGCACGTACATATAATGAAAGTTTGCACAGCACAAACAGTCTCCACTGGTCCTTGACTGCCTTCCTTGAACAATAGACCATGACTTTATGGTAAGAGATTTACTACTTTGCTAGCAGAGCCCAATATTGGTTACTCTGTCTCTCTATATAGTCGTAAAGACTATGACTATTAAGTATGGGAAAGAGAACTCCATTGCTGCTTTCTTCTGGTATTTTATTGATTTTAGTTTTAAGCACCCCTTAAAGCAACTCTTGGAATAAAGTCTTAAGCGGCTCCCAAATTACTTACACATGCTGTTATTCACTTTTTACCACAATATTGTGCAAATGAACAAAAATGTTAAAGTTATGCTAGATTCTTGAAGCACGGTGCTTTCTCTTGGCTTTCTGTTAGCACACATGGTCACGTCCATTATTGAAAACATGGTGAACACACCCGGGGATTCACAATTAGAAGTAAAGCTTTTCTGATTCCTTTTCTGCCAGAAGACCTCACGTGTCTGCCCTGAAAATGCAGACATCAGGGTATTGAATAGGATTTTTGGATCCTTAATTGTAGATCAGGTCAGAAGAATATTAGGAAAGCACCATTTTTGTAGGTCCATTTTTCTTACGCTGAGCAAAAGGAAAGGGAGGATATTACAGAAAAGTCTCACAGTGTTTAATTATCATGTGCTGCTAACTTGTGAAAGCTGTGGCAATAGCAAACGACCTGTTAAACAAACAAATAAAAAAAGTCAGGTGTACTTGTGTTGAGCACAGTAAAATACACCAGGATTGTATCATGCTTCTCCCAAAGGTCCAAAATCTAGGAGATGTGATCAGGATCCACATGGATGAATAGGATGAACAGATCATCTTGAAAGTGGGGGAACAGTAAAGAGCAAGTGAACTGGCAATTTGATGAGTAAAGATTTTGGCTCCACTCTGGATCCTCTTCCAAATTTTGACAGGTTTAAGCGTATCTCCTACTCTGTTTTATTCCAGAGAGCCTAATGCTAAGTAACCATTCCCAGTAGTATACAGCTGTGTTTTTCAGAACTTTGTTTCCATAGTGCTCTGTAAAAATAGCGTGACTGGAACTGTGCTGCGGATTCCTTAGGGTGTCCACTGTAGCTTTCCACTATGGTATTTTGACAGTATCATAATGTTTCCATCTTTTTCTGCTTTCCAGAACATAATTTGCCTCTGGCAAATACTGCAGAGTTTTATTTACCACTGTACCCCATTTCCTCTACTCAGTGCTTTATAGTCTATGACTGCTGAAGGAAGAGAGTTTTCCTGTTTACAAACACACTTATTACCTTGTGTTTCACTACACTAAATTGTGTTAGGTTTTCCCTCATCCATACTGCTGCCATTCAACTTGCTCTGCATCTTATTGCCACCTGCCACTGTATTTATTGTCTTCTCTCCCAGTTCTGTTAACAACAAGCTTGATTATTTTTACTGCACTCTCTTTTTTTCCAGTTACTTGTGGTATATGATGAAAGATTATTCCATTTCATAATCCTTGTAGCAATTGTCTCCTGCTGAAAGCGTCACTTAGCATCATCACCTCTTAAGCAGTGTCTTTGCTCTTCAGCTTAGAGTGAACCCGGTCATAGATGGGTGGAATTCTTGCTGTGCTGTCTCAGGTGAGCAACTGGCTCACTTCAGAAGAGGTATTTTGTGTCTTAATTGCCTCAAAGGGTAACTGCAGGTTAATTAACACCTAGAAAACATGTGGAAGATAGGATTGCTTTGTGGCGACTCTTAAGAATACTGCTGAGGGGTCATTGATATGTCACAGATATTTTTTTGAAGTTGGATAAGCGTGTTCTCAGCCACGTATGGAAGTATTTAGAWCTATAAGATGCTGCTCTCTCATAAAGTGTCTTTCGTGGCTAACAATATTTCTTTACAAAAAGTTAATGAATCACGAGTGTGGGGGTTCTTTTCCCTCTCTTCTGCAAGATGCAAAAGTAAGGTGGTAGGCAGTGGATTTTGTAGCCAAATGTTTGTCAGTGACTATGGAGGCTTATGTTGTCTGCGTATTTCTTTGTAGAATGCCAAGAAGTTCTTTTCAGTTTATTACTTGAAAATTATAAGCTGCATTGTGGTGAAATTAATTAAAATTATTCATAAATGGCATTTGGTTCATTACACTTTCTCCCTTTCTCCCCCAAGAAACATAAGCACTTTAATAGTCTTCTACTAAATGGAAAGTGTTTTTGAAATGGCATCATTATAAACARCAACAAAGGTAATGAGAGTTTGATTTCCCATTTTTCTACTCCTATTTTAGGATGAGAGTAACTCTTCAAAAGAAGACATGACTAAAACAGGACAGTTTTCACATAAAGCTTCCTTATCCACAAGTGAACTGCAGAGCAGGTACGGAGTTTTTCTCTGACCAGTACAGAACTGTCATATTCATGGTATTGCCCTTTAAATTAAGCTAAAATGATAACTTCCTCTTTTCAGCTATGCAATTTATTATACAGGGATAAGGTTTCTATAGGAGTTAGTCTACCGAACTTCTTCACGTAAAAGCAAAATATAACTAATTGTCACCTTGCCTTTCAGGGTAGTKAGCATTATGTCAGCGTAGTCTTCATCAAAAATCAAGTTTTTGACTTGGTGGATAGTTCTTGGCTTTTCTTAAGCCCAACAAGAGCACAAATGTAACTTTAAAAATAACCATTCGGCTATACTTTTTAAAATATGCAAGGGCAAAAATGARTTTAACTGTATTTAGTAACTTAGATTTCTTTTTCAAAGGACATACCTCGAAAGGAGAATGCTTTTTAGAAAGTACAGCAAAAACAYAGACTACATATTAAGAGATTCAGCATGCAATATTTCAACAGAGATCTTGAAAACCTGCAATTCTGTCTAGTTTACATAGGTTAATTATTCTGTGTATACTTCAGATGTATGATGAGGATTTTTTTCTGATATTTTACTTAAAATATACTGCTTGATTTGATTTTGAGTTGTTTTGACCACTTCTGTGGTAGAAGTGGATTATGTAGAATGCTTTGGTACTCACTGGAGGAATAATGTTAAGTAATGTAAAACATAGTTGTCTGGCTTTCCTGTTTTAACTTATATTAAGAGAAATATCCTGGAGCTGTGGCACTAAAATTGAGACTGCTTGACTTGAGAAAAGTTTTATTTTGATAAGGAAATGTGATGAAATATTTTATAACAATGGCCTCATGGATCACCACTGTATACCACTGAAAGGAGCGCAAGTCAAAAAATCTTAGATTTTCACGTTTGCATGAAGTCATTAGTGAAGGTGTTAGCATTGCTGTACCTATGTTCACTCCTGTGTTCTTTGTCTTGGCATTTGCTGCAAGTAAGATGCAGGGTCTAGGATGTGGTTGAGAGTTTTAGTTTGGGGACAGCTTTAGTGCTTTAAAATTGATCCTGAAACTGAAGCCTGTGAGAAAAGACGAAACAAACCTTAATATTGCAGCATCAAGAGATGATGGGATATGAAACGTGGCACGCAGGTTGGGAAAGGACAATTGCTTGGGCCTAGAGGCTGGCAGCACTAATCCCAGTCACAAAAGGGAGAGACACCTAAGGACTCAAGGACACTCGGACTGCGAGTGTGTGCCACACTGCTCATAAACAAGATACAAGGACAGAGACAGAGTTCAGGAAAGGACATGGTACTGTCGACCAAATGTTGGCAGTAAAGTAGATGATTGAAAACCACTGGGAGTAAGGAAAAGGTCCGTGTTTTGTGAAATATTTAGTACATGACTCACTCAGAAAAGAACTTCTGGGACTTCTAAAGGAGATGTATGAGGGAACAAAAGCATATGACAGGTATTTCAGAGCAGGGAGTTGCGTGCAGAAATCCTGCTGTTAATATGATTTGTGAGTGTAATTCCCAGATTGCTTAGCTCAGATTCAGATGGTTTCCAGTTGAGACAGGCGAGGGACTCTTCYCTAGCTTGGCGGTGTCTTTGTCCATCCAACGTATGTCACGTGCAAGGACTGACTTATAGAAATACACAAAAAGATAATCCAGCCTATTTCTTTTGCATTATTTTTTCAGAGAAGAACAAGGAATTCGCAAAACTTATTATTATTCTTCGATGCTTTCCTCCTACTGTAGTTAAGATCATTGGTTTTGGGTTTTCTCCAAGTAGATAAGCTTTTAGTAAAAGAAAAATGCAAGCATAAGGCTGGCTTCAGGAAATAGATTCTGAAGAAAAGTATATCAGAGCTGTGTGTGAGATTGTATACAAATGTCCCTTCTAGTCTGCTGTGCATTTGTTGCACAAAGAAGGCTCTATTGGAAGTGAGGTGATATGAGCCGTGGAAAGAAAGCAGAAGTTTGGTTCWGTATTGACTTGTCTCCGTTTAATACAAGTCTGCGTAACTTCACTCTTAATTTTACTGCTACATGTCATTGTCTCCAAACTGCAGGGCTGTGTTTTCTGTGTTTAGGATGGTAAGCAGGTTTAAATTTTCTTCATGCTCATGACTAAACTAAAATGTTGGTGTTTAACTTTTCTAAGAGTGTGAAGGTGACTTTTCTCCATTTTTAATTTTGGAACCTCAGATGGATTTAACTGTTATTGTTTCACGTGGTGGAGATTACCATCACTATGGTGTTTGAATCCAAGTGTAAAAGCTGTTTCTTCTTCTGTTTTCCACGAGACAGGGGGGGCTTAGAATTTGCAAAACTGTCCCTAAATCTTTCTCCTCTTCTCTCCCCATTTTCACTTCCTTAAAGTCAAGACCTGAATATGTTTTGCTCTAGCTAGTTGAAAGTATATTTGTGAGTGTTTTCATGGAAGAGTTCTTTCAATTTTGTCATATGAGTTTACTGATATTAACTTGAGGACAACTGGTGAGACCATACTGGATTGACWGATGACATGTATATAACAAAATGTGAAATTCCGTCCATTTCCTAGATGCAGAGGACCTCCACTGAGTTGCACATTTCCAGTTTATTTTCCCAAACTGAGAAACTTCTCAAAAGGTTGAAGATAACTTAGTCTTAATTTTTAAGTGTCTCTTTCTCTGAGCAGATGTGAAAGATGTCACCTCAGTAGTCATTTTTTGCTGATAAATTTTGATGTGGTYTTGTGCTTTATTACAAGAAAATGTCTCATTTCATTATATAACACAACCCTTTATTTGAAATATTCAAGAGAATGCAAACTGCTATGAAGTTTAGGTATACATACTTCAAATTTGTTAGTGTTTCATAATGATTTTAAAAGAATAAACTTTGCATTATAGGTCTAGGAAATAATTTCTCAAAACAACTGAAATATGAGAATTTGTCTTTAGTATTAAAACAGCGACACAGAAGATGAGGTGGAAATGAACACTCAGTTGTCATTATATCATAATGTATTTGGTGGAATACTTAATCCAAGATGCTTCTGATAGAGCACTTTACAGCTGCAGCCACAGTAATTTAATATATCTCAGATAGATTGTCTTCCTATTGAAATAACTGCTCATGGTTATATTTTGACCTTCAAATGACACAAAAATCCTACTGTGTTTCTATTGCATAGGCTCAGTGCCTAGTCACACTGCCTATCAAAATACTGCATGCTATTTGAAAATTAATTCCCTTTTTATTTAGGAGGTATTATCAAGTGCACTTGGATACATGGGGGAGAATTTGTGTGAATGAATAACACAGGGCTSCCATTTCTTAGAAGTAGCTGCAGTGCAGCTCTTATCCCTTTTTGTGATAGGTAATCTGTGGTTAGCAGCTTGATTTTGGATTTCTGCTGTTTCTCTGCTCTGACTCTTCTTACTTCTCCTGATTTGCTGATTATTGCTTTGCTTCTTTGTGTTGACAGGTCACCAGTGCAGCAGAACACCCCTGTTCACGTGGGTGATGGTGAACACCGGCCCAGACGCACGGCCGTGTACAAAGGGAAGCCTCACAGAGCCATCTTTGAAGAAAGTCTGGAGAAAATATACAGAAACATGTATCAAAAAACTGCTGGCACTGTTTCAGACCAAAAAACCCACTCCTGATAGTGTTTTATCTGGAAATGCACAATAACACAACATTCATATTTTTAAAGAAAATTGTTTTTTATGTAASAAATATTTGTACTCTATTTTTAATTGTGCTTGGGCAGGGTTACTGGCAGGGTTGCCAAATGGGGAACTACTTAAAACCAAACAAAAACCAAGCCTCTTCCTAGTTAATCAAGCTATGTTGCTCCTTTTGGGTTATCAGAAGATAGTCACCCGAAGACCCATAGCTCTGCTGGACACTCTTGTCTGACATCGAGTCAGGTTTTAGTTGCAGTTAACGATCTAAAAAATGATTATAATTGGTAACATAAATAGAATTGATTTGAAAAAGTAATATGTCTTAGTGTTCACAGAGRCAGTCTGAAGGGGAAGGGTGAATGTATGTGTTGATATAAAAGCATCTGCTTTGGGAAAGAGGGAATTGTTTTTTTAGAAAATTGGCTTTGGATTATTTTTGTTGTTGTTGAGAAAGACAGAAGGAAGAAGCTCACACTGACCTATAGATGTGCTTTCAAAGCATTTTCAAGTACCTTCGGTAACAAATTTTCGAATACCATCAAATTTTAAAAGAAACCTGCCCAACTCAGCAATCTTTTTATAAGAAAAAATTTCTTCACATATCCTGTGCGCYTGAAAGTTTCCAGGTTCTCTTGAATTGCCATGACATTTGCCAACACACTTGTAATTTAAAAAATACAAATAAGAAAAGGGCGAGAAGGAGGTAGGCCTGGAGCTAGTCAGCCAGCTCGTATACCCAGTTCAGGCCTTCTGAAGCCCCTGCATCACAATCCCACCTAATTTGGAGCCTATCCTTACCAGCCTGCTGGGATCCTCTTGGCAGAAATTGCATCCTTTTTGCTAAAGGCCACCAAATGTTCATCAGCAGCTCGATGCTTTCCCAAGAGATGGAACCTTTTCAGCTTTGCATTGAACAGATCCCACATTAACAGACCGGGGCAAATTGCCCATCTCTTGAAAAAACAAATGTTTTAAAAGGGCAAGAGTGTCCGTCTCCTGCTTCTTTTTAAAATGGGGGAAAAAAAACAAATGCATATTCTGGCTCCTTCCCTGGCTGAAAGAAAGGATTCAGTTGCACCGATGCCATTTTACCTGTTACGACTGGATAAAGGATAAAGCAAGCAGTACAGATGGCAGAACATATGACTGTAACCTGCCAGCATGCCTAGATAAACAAAAAGTTGGTCTACTCTGCCTTCCGTCCTTTAACGCTGAGACAACATAATTGATTTGAGAAAGCAGTTGGTGAGCAATTATGCTAGTGGGARAGCATGTTGAAAGGCTCTGGGCTTCTGTTTCAGGAAAGGGGCCTCTCAGAGGAAGTGTCTTACATATAGACATTTCTATTCCTTGTAGCAGTTAAACCAGTTGAAGTGGATTAACAGTGATAACTTCCTGTCCCTGATGCCATTTAGCACATTAGTGCTTTCAAAGGGCATTAGTTGTTCAGTCTTATGCTATAGATAAGTGTTGAGTCACTCTATTGAGAAGTAATGCACTTTATTTTTTTCTTTCAGAARTGGAAAGTAAAACTTGTCCAAGCTGTGTCACTGAAGGATGGTGGCCATAGAGTGTTACAGCACCAGTACCTGCTCTCCATGCCATACCCTCTTCTTGTGAGCCAGTATTAGCCCGTAAAATAGTTTCTTTTTTCTTGCTGCTAAGGATTATAGGCATACGCAGATAGGCCCTTAATAGGCAGAGTGCGTTCTGGGAGACTCTTCCTAAGCTTTTGGTCTTCCAAAACCTGAGAGTTGTTGTGGTCTCCCCACATGTGTTGGAGCCTTCCAGATTTGCTCTTCTCATGGCTTCCCATAGTCTTCAATCATTATTCTCTCTGTATTTGGCCACCTTAGTGTCAAGCTTGGTAGACGTTAGTGTAGTCAGAAGGTTGGTGCTCCCCTTTGGCCAAATGGACGTACTGTTCAGTTTGCACCTCCTTGGCGTTCCAGCATTGCAGATTTCCATTCCTGCCACTTCAGTGCRTAGGAAGGCCTGAGTGCTCAGGCTGTTTGATTGGGTTACTGAGGACACAAGTTGCCCAGAAATCAAGAAACAAGGAGGGGRCAAAGAAGGTTGGAAGCTACTATGAAAAAAACAGGGCAACATGTTGAAATTCAGGAGGAACATCTAGGGTATGTTTCATTCCCTTCCCCTAACTAAAGAAGGGAAGCATATGGTAGATGTGGTAAGCTTTATTTTTTTTTTTTACATCAAAGCATCTTTAAATTTCTTTTTCATAGAGGGACTTAATGGGAGAAAAAGGTGTCCTACCTTTCTGACTAATATGAGTAGTCTCACTCTGTAGCCTTTGTATGCAGCATAACAACAAATGAAGCAGACAGACTGCGAGTGTCTTTGGGCTTTGCACTGCTGAGGGATGGTGTGTAGATGGTGTGTAGATGGTGTGGTGTGTAGAAAGTCTTCCTGAATCAGCTGCTGCAGAACATGTCTCTCTCTCATGGGTCAGACTCGTTCCACAGCTGATGTGCTGGGGTAGGGAAAAGTGTGTTCTCTTCCAAGCGCTGTGTGGGTTTTGGTTAATGGGAAAGTTTTCTATGAAATGTCACTTAAGACCCAAATTTCTGCGATCTCTCTCCAGAATCTGCAAGCCACTTGTTTTTTAAAAGCTTTTGGCCCTTCCYCTGTTTGCTCAGCTCGCTCTGCTATTAATATGCATGCGGCTCGAGTGCTCTGAACGCTGCTGCTCTTTCGCTGCTGCACTCTGTGATAAGTATAGGTTCAGGCAGTGAACCAACGTAGTAATAAACTGTAATTGTTTAGTGCACCTTGCTTTCTAATACAATTTAAATCCCTTCTATCAAATGCAAATTTCTAGGTTCCCGAGTGCAGCTTTAAATAACATTTTCTATGYTCATTCGTTATCTTTTGTCATCCACAAAGTAGTCTGTTAGTGTCAGTGCGATGACACAATTCCACCATCATCATTTTACCTCCTGAAGGAAAGCTGCCTACTCAAATCTAGAAATAATGGGCTAGATTAAGAGAGAATTAGTGTTTTCCTGTAGAGTCTATCTCTTCTTCCTGCCCTCCCCAAGTTATTACAACCCATGAGTGTCCTCGCCAAATGCTATGGCTTTTAGTATTGCTTGCAGTATTCAGTATAACCAGAACAGTATTTTAATCATTTTCATTTTAGTAAGTCAGAGTCCTCTCGTAATTTACTCCCTTCCCCCTTTGCTGCAAGTAACTTTGTGTAGCTCAGGGTCTTGGGATGGCTTTGCACAAACTAGGTGGTGTGCAGAAAATTGCTCATCATCTGCTAAAGAGTAGTTGCTTTGGAAATTACTCAATCTGCAACCTATTGCAGGTTTAAGAAGTGTCAACCTCTTTAATGATTTAGATAATTRGAATTTCAGCTAGGAAGTGGGAAGCTTTAACTGTTCAACCAGCGGCAAGATCCATAGGGATGGACAGAGTAATGGGAATAGGTAGCAATAAGATGGGCTGTCCCAGTCAGCTTGGAACCCATAAACCTCCCCAAAATGGGTCAGAACATGATGAGGGCTGTTCTCTAAACTGTGTATCACATTTGTGAATTTCCCTATTGCTTAGGGATTCTCAAAAAATGATGAGGGGAGGGGAAAAAAAAAAGCCTAGTCCATAATGATTGGAAACCTGTGATTTCCCCCCCACCTCCCTTTTTTTTTTTTTTTTTTGGTAAAATAACAGACTTTTAGCATTGATCAGTATTAAGTACTCTGTGCTAAGCTCACTGTCCTTGTTACCTCAGCTGTAAAATGGGGAGTTTGGAGTTTGTGCTCTGATACTTAATTAAATGACTGTAAAGTGCTTGGGGATGCTGAGCCTGAGGTGGATATTGTTAGGGAACCTATTTTATTTTTTGGCAGTCAGGCTGAAAAGTCCCACCTCCGGGTTACTAGAAAGGTTTTATTTTAATTTTCCCAGTTTTATTATGTTTTAATCAGGCAACTATCAAACAAGCCTTAATCTTATCAAGATGGAAGTCTGTTAAATCCAAGAGACTCCCCTGAGGATAAGAACGAATTGCTTCCTTACCTGCATTTTTAGGGGCTAATCTTTACAACAAGAAGCAATCGAAGAAAGCTAAAAAAGAAGCTAATCTAAGAAGCTAAAAGAAGCTAATCTTTACAACAAGGAGCAACGACAATCTTACGTCTCCTGGATGATCTATGTTCTTCATATTCACAGTGATTGCTCTCATGATATCTTTTTCAAATACAAGTTCTATTTTTATCATCATGATATCTTAATGCTTTCTCCTATGTGTTCTAACCAGTACTATTAACATCTCTCGGGTCTTTTGTTCTTGTGCTCTCCCCAGGGCTGGGGGTGCAGTGGTGTGTGCAGTWACTTGACAGTGGAAAACTTTGTATTGTGCCATAGGTTTAGCAAAGGAATCTGGAAGAAATTCCCATCTTTTCAGTCCATGTTCAAGGTATAGTCYATTATGATGTTATTCTGGTCTTCCTAATTCTTAAGCCTAAGCACTTGTTTTYTGAACCRCTGAACTATGCAACAAAATTAGCCTTTTACGTGGTCACTTACTTGTGGAAGTCACATAATGTGAATCTCTGGGTCGTGTGAAAGCCAGCCATGACGTTAATAGCTTGCCTGGTTACAAAATGCTCATTATCAGGATGCTTGAGAATAACTCAAGAGATTTGTTTCAGAATCAAGGAATTCGAGGAAGCTTTTTAGTCAGTACCACTTAGGGAAAGCTSTTTAGCTTCTTGGTGCCAGTTGAAGCTACGAGTGAACAGCCCATCTGTGGATGGTTGTAATGAGCTGCTTCGCTGACAAGAGTGATGTTGAGCTTAGGCAATGGTCTGTGGTAGCGGGAATCTTTGCCTGGCTCTTTTGAGCTTCCACAAACAAAATGATGTTGTGGGAAGGKATCAAGAATGTTTAATAATTCCAGGTTCTTTGATGCCATAGAATATGGAACAGAAAGCTCATTGCACTGGTTTCTACTACTTTGTCCATGGAATTCAAAACACCTTCACTCAAAGCTTTAAGGTGAGACGTTAGCTGTTTTTGTTAACAATGTTGCCGTGATTTCACCCATTGAACCAAAGATGTGCAGTTTGTTTCCAGTGTTTGTCTTGAGAGAGAAACTCTCTGAAGTGCCGTGATAATCTGTCTGGATGACAACGAGGCAGCCGGGACATGGGATCGGAGCCTTCCCTTCAAGTGAAGGAGTTCGCTGCTGCAAAGCAAGGTCTCTTTCAGTTCATCAGAATTCACTGATCCTCAGGATATAGCACAATTTTTTTTTTCCTGTGGTCCCACATTTCCATAACCCTGTAGAACTGATACCGCTGAACGGAGATTGCTTTATATGAAGTGAGGTGAGAGGTGGGGAGCAGGGGTGGGTTTGTGAGCAGTTCAGTGCTCGGCTTTTCATATTTTATGCATTTGCATACCATGAATTGTGGGCATATAAAGCAATATATAAGTGAAACTTATAAATATGTGTCTAAGTAACGAGTGTCATTTACACTACTGAACTGTGGTGAATTCTAATGCTAATATTTTTATTGTTACACTGACTTGAAGTTTGGGATGTTGA